CTCTTATAATTTTGAGTAAAAGATGGCACAGATACCTTTAAAATGAACAAATTCATAAGTAATTGCAAAATGAAAAAAAGCAAGGATTCCATTTACCTCCTTCTTTAAAAATAATATAGTTAAATGCAATGTATTACAGTATGAAATAACAGGAGCAATCTTTTCTTCCTGCCACCAGGGGGTGCTGGTATTCTTTGGCAAAAAGCAGAAATAAAGAGGTGGAACATTATCAAGCATTGTTGAAAATTAAATGTGCACCCACATTTGACCTACAAAACATTTATTTGGTATTTCAACCAAATTTCTTTATAATCAGATGAAAGTGAGGTTTGGTATGGACAAAAGGGCAATTGGAATTGAGAAGAAACCTGAATCGGGAGTAGAGTTATGTACAAATATTGGACATATAACAGCTAATATATATATAAGATGTAATTACTCCGTATGGGGTTTATGGCATAATTGGCTAGAGGAAAAGGGGGTGGGGGGGAGCAGGAAAGCAAAAAAGAAAGGAAGAAAGATCAACAAATTAAAAAACAATTACAAAGATGGAAATAGGAAATAGACTGTAAATAAATAATAGGAAATGGATATAAAATGAGTCAAATGTAATAAAGGTTGTTATACATAGAATATATAGAATGTTATATATAGAATGAAGAAAAAAGATATATGAAATAATATAAATAATAATATAAATGAATGTATGTATGTATGTATGTATGTATATATATATATATATATATATATATATATATATATANGGTGAGATTTGAACAGCCGAACTGCAGAACTGCAGTCAGCTGAAGTAGCCTGCAGTGCTGCATTTAACCACTGCGCCACCTCGGCTCTCTAGTACAAGTTCAGAGTCTTAAACTCTGAAAATGATCTTCAGGAAAACAAATTCTTTTTCCAGACGAACAGCACCGAGAGAACTGATGAGATTTTTTATGACCCTACTGATGAGTGGGAACCTGATTTTTCAAATGCATCCAGCTGTTCCAAGTCTACAAGGAGGTAACTAGAACAGTGTCAAATTATGTCTCAAGATCACAAGGTTGCATTTCCCAAAGCAAGAGGAAGTAGAGGAGGGGAGGGAGGGGAGAGAGAGAGAGACAGACAGACACAGAAAGAGAATGAGAGAGGGAGGGAGAGAGATAGAGATAAAGAGTCACACACAGAGAGAAAGAGACAGATAAACAGAGAGAGAGAGAGACAGAGAGAGAGAGAGAGAAAGAAAGGAAGAAAGATAGAAAGAAAAAAGAAAGTGGGAGGGAGAGATGAAAGAAAGAAAGAAAGAAAGAAAGAAAGAAAGAAAGAAAGAAAGAAAGAAAGAACTTATGATCACAATTGAACCCAAAATTTTAGTTGCTAAGCAAGAGCATCGTTAAGTGAGTTTCAGCACATTTTCCAAGTTGGCCACGCCCAACCGGTCACATGACCGCCCAGCCACTCCCACAAAACAGGCCACACCTACAGAATAGGTTCTAAAAAATTTTGAAACCCACCACTGGACTAAAGATTTCAACCCTTGGAAGGCAAATCTCATTGGCAGTACACAAAATCAAACTTTATTCTGTAAAAGAATAAAATAAAAAGTCAGTGTTTAAACTTTAAATATTAAAATGCAGACAGTCCATCTTTTAAGAATATAGTCATGGATCTCTTCAGATTATGAGAACAATAAAAGCTTGACTTAAAATTTATCCAAGAATAATCTTATCCTGCCAGATGTTACTCATCTATTCCAGTAGAATATTCTGCCAGAATCTACAGAAAAGTAAGGGAAGTTTCAAATTTATTAACATAGATCAGAAAAAAAATTCTTTAAAAAAAATGTTAATACCCAGCCTGAAGAACAGAAAGGCTTGGAATCCATTCAAAAACCAGCCTCATACAGAGAAATTGAATTTAAAACAGGAGACGGCACATTGCACCCATAAACACAGAACAAAAAATGTTAAATGTTTAAATCAACTTCTTGGGAAATAACTTCACCTGGACATCTGGTCCTCAGATGCGGTTTTCCTGGACTTAGTTATTTAGTTCTCTTCTTTGGATTTCGGGAGTTTTTGGGGAAGACAGTAAATCTCCCTCTTCCATCCTCAGTTCCCAGTTTTTTCATTTGTTTTTTTTCCTCTTCTCTGTTTCTGCTTTTGTTTAAAAGGAATCCCAATTTCCCTATTCCAAGCAGGGAAGAAGGTCTTAAAAGACACTTACTTCTGTATGAGACCTAAAGCCAGCCTCCTTGGGAATGAAAAATAGACTGGCAGGACGCTGATACTCTGGGAATGCAGACTGGCAAAGAATACTGGCATTCTTAGAAGTGTTACTGAAACTAAATATGATCTCTTTTACTTGTTACTCCCGTGTAACTTTAGGAGAAGTAGAAGTTTGAGAAAGAGCAAGAGAATCTCTGGGTGTCTGTCTGGGATAAAGGTGAAACTGCACAATTCATGTGTAACAGGTATGTCTGTTGTAATGCTCTGCCCTTCAAAAGTTGTCTTTAAACGTTGTTTTTATTTTATTGGCCCTCTATTAAAGTCCTGGAAGTTTTATAAAAGTCCTGGAAGTTTTATAAAATTTATAATGGCTGGATTATTGCAATGCGCTCTACATGGGGCTATCCCTGAAAAGCGTTCGGAGACTACAGCTAGTCCAGAATGCNCAGCTGAAGTAGCCTGCAGTGCTGCATTTAACCACTGCGCCACCTCGGCTCTTAAGGTGCAGAGACAAAGGATGACCTTGGCTTTCTAGAAAGGAATGTTGTTATGGCTACATATCATCTAACTCCGTTCAATCCCCAACTCCCATTTTCCCACCATAGAAAAAGGCATAGCAGAATAATAGAAAGTGAGGCAGGCCTAAGATCCAAAAGAAAAGATGGCGGCAGGCCTGACAAGAGATTAGCCTCTTGCAAAATGACTTGCTTAATTCTTCTCCCCAGCCTGCCTGCTCCTTTCCTGCAACCACCTATAAATTTCTTTTGAATTTATATCTTTGTATCAGTACATTCCAGTCGTGGCTTTCATCCCAGTGTCTCCTTCATGAGAAAATATGATATCTGTCCTCATGTACCGGGGCTTTTAAGTACACTCCGTTTGTTCTTCCTATTCCGAGCATTCGATATGTATCTTTATGGCTGGGCCTGCCTACATCTTCGGTTTTCCCTGAGGTTAAAATCCAAATTGATTTAATGTCCTACCCGCAGCTGTCCTGGGAGGCGCAGAGATCGTAACGGCGAGAGAGGATGCCCTTATATCAACTTAATCTGGGGCGTTGTCTAGAAAACATTTGGGGCAGAGGGTAGCTCCGTATGAGATACACACACCCAGGTAACCTTTGGGTTAAATGACGGGAATGTAATCCTCTCTCCGAACATGACTGGAAACTTCAGTTTATTTGAAATGGAGGTAGCAGAAGAGGATCAGTTTGTCTGAGAACTGAAAAATAGTTCTGGGGCCTGATTCCTTCCGATTTTTAACTCCTTAGCAACTTGGAGCCCAGTATTTTCAGGAATGGCTCTTCTCTTACGGTATGTTCTTATCCGAGTGCTGCACACATCATTGGGCATCTCCTCTGTCACTATCAAAGGAAGAAAGGCAGGTGTGGGAGACTGTGGAGAGACTGGGGAAAGAGGAGAAGGAAGAGTAGACCAAGTGTAGAGATTAGAGACAAACCCCGTAATAACTTGTGTCCATAAATGGAGAGAAAGAGAAGGAGAGGAGGGAGGGAGGGAGAGAAAGAGAAGGAGAGAGGGTAGGAAGGGGAAGACAGAGGGTAAGAGTAGGGGAGAGGTAAGGGAAGGAAGAAGGGGAAGGAGAGGAGGAAGAAAGGAAGTAGAGAAGGGAGGGAGGGAGAAAAGAAAGGGGAAATAAGGTGGTGTTACAACAGGCTCTGGAGATGGTAAACAAAGCAATCCAAACTGTACCTTATAACCTTTTAAATGGAATAACAATAGCAATAGCAATAGCAA